GGGTAACACTTTATTTGAAGGGGTGTGCATAAGACTGACATGACACTGTCATAAACATGACATAACACCTGTCATGAACATGAAGGATATTAATGAATGTTTATGAATGTTGTCATTAAGTGACATTATGTAAATTATGACACTTTTAATGCAAAGTTGACATTGTTTAAAATGTCTTTGTTATGACAACTTGACTTTAACCAAGACAAAAATGTCTTGATTATGACAACTTCACATTAACAAAGATAGAAATTTCTTTCTTATGACAACTTGACATTAACCAAGAAATCATAACTAGTCCAACCTGTTCCACTTTACTTGAGGTAAGGGGAAATATTAATGACACTGTTGTTAAAGCATTTGACAGTGTAATAATGACATCTTCATAACTAGTACAATGTGTTCCACTTTACTTGATGACAAGTAAAATATTCATGTCACAGTTATAATGGTGTCATGATAACCAAAGTTAAAACCAACCATAATATATGACAGGGTAATGTAATGTTAACACAAAGCTAAATAACTTCTTTAAGTTTGATAATTAGACCTGTAATTACATATTTGTGACAGGTTGACAGGTTATGATTTCTTGGTTAATGTCAAGTTGTCATAACAAAGACATTTTTGTCTTGGTTAATGTCAAATTTTCATAACAAAGACATTTTTGTCTTTGTTGATGTCAAGTTGTCGTAACTAAGACATTTTAAACAATGTCAACTTTGCATTAAAAGTGTCATAATTTACCGAATGACACTTAATGACAACAGTCATAAACATTCATAAAGACTCCTTCATGTTCATGACAGGTGTTATATCATGTTTATGACAGTGTCATGTCAGTCTTATGCACACCCCTTCAAATAAAGTGTATGTTTACATGGTGTATCAAAAAATGCACTATTATGAAATAAGTGTTTGCCATTTGATGCAAATGTTTCATTCTGACGTTTATTGCATTTTGAATGATGTTACATTTTTGAAGGAGATGTGAGGCATTTTGCATTTTGTCAAGTCAAATTTATTTATATAGCGCTTTTTATAATACAGATTGTATCAAAGCTGCTTCATAGTGATAACATGAAAGTAATATAACACAGATCAATAATATTGTTGAATATTAAATGTCCAACTAAGCAAGCCAAAAGCAAGGCAACAGTGGCAATGTGACGTTGTGCGGAGAAACAGAGCTGAGGCTGGGTCCAAACACAGTGTAGCTTTATTAACAAACTTGAAACAAGACACAAGACTAGAAGCAGGACTCGAGAATCATGAAAGCACCAACGTAACACACATAAATTCAACAACCAACAAAGACAGGGCAGAAACACAGGGCTTAAATAATCAAGGACAAACGAGCTAGACAAGATAACAAGGGGGCGTGAGAAATGAGAAACACCTGGGATAAATAATAGACGGGCAATAACTAATAACGAAAACACACAAAATCACTTCGTGACATAGCCTCCCCCCTATGGGCGGCTCCCGACGCCCATACAAACAACAAAAAGTTCAGGAGGGCGGTGAAGCGGAGACAGTCTTGGGGGAGGGACGGAGGGCCAGGCCCGTGCAGGGGAACAGGACCAGGAGGTAGCCAAGGCGGGCCTGGGCCGCAGAGCATGGGCATACCAGACTGGGCCGGAGACCAAGGCGGAGCAGGACGAGGCGGAGGCCAGGGCGGAGCAGGACGAGGCAGAGGCCAGGGCGGAGCAGGACGAGGCAGAGGCCAGGGCCGAGCAGGAAGGGACCAGGGCGGAGCAGGAAGAGGCGAATGCCAGGGCGGAGCAGGACGAGGCAAGGTCCATGTCTGCATCGCCTCCATGGCCCTCACAGGGTACCTACTGCCCCCCCCCAAAAAATACTTGGGGAAATTCACAGGGATTTGAAGGGCACAGCTAGAACAGAGCTTGAAGGTCACAGGCAGGGCGAGGCGCAGAGGCGGGGCCGGCAGGGCGAGGCGCAGAGGCGGGGCCGGCAGGGCGAGGAGTCTGGGTACGCTTACTAGGGCCTGGCGAATCGAGCGAGTCCTCCTTCTCCTTCTCCTGCGGCGGCACGTCACAGGGCTAGACACACTCGCTGGGCTGGACAACTCACTCACTTGAACTGGAGATGCAGCGCTCACTTGAACTGGAGATGCAGCGCTCACTTGAACTGGAGATGCAGCGCTCACTTGAACTGGAGATGCAGCGCTCACTTGAACTGGAAATGCAGCGCTCACTTGAACTGGAAATGCAGCGCTCACTTGAACTGGAAATGCAGCGCGCACTTGAACTGGAGATTCAGCGCTCACTTGAACAGGAGATTCAGCGCTCACTTGAACTGGAGATGCAGCGCTCACTTGAACTGGAAATGCAGCGCTCACTTGAACTGAAGAATCACTCACTTCAACAGGAGACTCAGCACTCACTTGAACAGGAGACTCAGCACTCACTTGAACTGAAGATTCACTCACTTCAACAGGAGATTCACTCACTTGAACAGGAAATTCAGCACTCACTTGAACAGAAGATTCATTCACTTCAACAGGAGACTCGCTCACTTGAACTGAAGATTCGGCACTCACTTGAACTGAAGACTCAGCCCTCACTTGAACTGGAGATTCATCCACTTGAACCGGAGATTCATCCACTTGAACAGGATCACTCACTTGAACTGAAGATTCACTCACTTGAACAGGAGATTCCCTCGCGGGGCTCACGTGAATCGCGAGTTCGGCTGGGCTGACGTGAAGCGCGGGCTCGGCTGGGCTGACGTGAGTCGCGGACTCGGCTGGGCTGACGTGAGTCGCGGGCTCGTCAATGCGCACGTGAAGCGCGGGCTCGTCGTGACTGACGTGAACCAGCAGTGAAGACGGCGAGGGCTTCGCGGGTAAAGTACACTCGGCAGGTGTCGAGTAGAATAAGCGCGCAGTAGAGAAGAGGTCCTCCAAGGAACAAGCCTGAGCGACATACCCGTCAAGAGTCCAGTTGGCAAGGTCCCGCGGCATCCATCGAGCGATCTCATAATCCAGCCCGTTCCGAAACAGGCCCATGAGCTGGACATCATCTAGCGCTCCCAGACGGCAAATGGACAGGAACTCCTTCGCGTACCTTTGTACAGACTGGCCCTCTTGCAAGAATGACGACAGGTATTCTATCATAGCCCGGTTGCTGACGACTGCTGGACCCATATTGAGGTTGGTTGTTCTGTGACGTTGTGCGGAGAAACAGAGCTGAGGCTGGGTCCAAACGCAGTGTAGCTTTATTAACAAACTTGAAACAAGACACAAGACTAGAAGCAGGACTCGAGAATCATGAAAGCACCAACGTAACACACATAAATTCAACAACCAACAAAGACAGGGCAGAAACACAGGGCTTAAATAATCAAGGACAAACGAGCTAGACAAGATAACAAGGGGGCGTGAGAAATGAGAAACACCTGGGATAAATAATAGACGGGCAATAACGAAAACACACAAAATCACTTCGTGACAGGCAAGGAACCAAAACTCCATCAGGTGATTGGATGGAGAAAAAAACCTTGGGAGAACCCAGGCTCAGTCGGGGGCCAGTTCTCCTCTGGCCAACATACATATTGTTTCAAAGCAGCTTTACAGCAAGTGCATATCAGAAAAGTACATGGAAAAAATACATTTAGTTTATCATGTAATATTAAGGGCATAACATAACGCCGGCGTTGAAGCCTTTTCACAGGCGTTGGTCTTCTCATCACAGCCGTTGGGGCATCTGAATTTGGGGCATCTGGCATTGTGTGTGAAGTTTTGAAAGTTTTAGAGTTTTGAAAAAAGGTGACAGAGTTTTAAAAATGTGTGTAAGTTTCTAAAGACTGCTGCACAGTGGCGGCGACTAGCATCTTGAGCTCAAACAACACTAAGAGAGAGCTTAAAAACCTTACGAAAGTGTGACTTACAGAAAATATACTTACTGTAGCGTACGATCGTGTCGAGAGCCGTGGCTTAAGGTTAAGTGAGAGGTTAAGAAATAGGTTAAGAACTACTTAGAGCTAAGAACGTTTTGGGGAACTGGGCCTTGTTTATTAATTTACGAGTCATTTATAAATGATTAGATAATGATGAGCAAATTGTTTACAAAATGACTATATGCTCATAAATTATTAATAAATGGTATGCTAACGATTTACAAATGTGTTGTAAATTATCATACTTTTTTAGATGTTATTAAGTCATTAGTTGACACATTTTTAATCACTTATAAATGTCAAAATTGTTGCATATGTATCTCAATAAACAATGGTAATCATAAACAAATGATTAACAAACAATTTGTAAATCAGTATATAATTTATTGATGGATCTTTAAGTTGTAAGCTGGCCAAAAGCACAAACATGCAGGTATGAAAGCAGTATTTTTTAAAAAGAGTATTCATTTGTTGTCAAGTGGATACTACATGACTTACAGTTAGGGGGTTGCAGTGGGTTATGTGGAATCTTTTCACTCATCAGCACATTGTGTTCTGTGTGGAGTGTGTGAATCTAGTGAATAAAATCTAGAAAATTATTTTCTGGCTAGCACATTACATGATACCAATTCCACATTATTTGCAACCATTTATTTTTAAAAATATATATTTCTCCTTGGGTTTTATTTTAATTAGTTTTTCTTACAAATTGTATTGTTTATTGCTAGAAAATAACACAACCCCACATAGTTTTAAACCATAATTTAGGTAACAGTATTTCTTTGCAAATTTTGAAACAGAGACACAGTGATTGATGTAATTTCTGAGAAGACCATGTGGCACCACCTCTACTATAAAACAGTGCTGCACATCATACATTAATGAGTAAATTACTGTAGGTGTCTGTGTGTGTGTGTGAGAGAGAGAGAGAGAGAGAGAGAGAGAGAGAGAGAGAGAGAGAGAGAGAGAGGGGGGTAACAGAGATGTGGACCTCTCTATATTTATGTATTTATCTATCCTTTACCTCTATCTCTACAGCATCGATCTCTAGGTCAGGCTCCTGTCAACTCCAGGGACACTTCAGGTTAAACGGGATGTACCAAGACGGAGACTTTATCATTGGAGGCCTGTTTGCATTTCATCTCATCACAGTGTTCCCAGAACTGAATTTTAAAAGAGAACCGGAACAGATGCATTGTGAGCGGTAAGCCTGGGCTAAACAGATGGCAAAAAAAGGACATTTAAAACAAAATAGAAGGAACAACATGGAGAACAAAATTATATTTAATATATATATATATATATATATTGACTTGTATTTGATAATTTTCTTATTAATTTCAAACATGTCTAATGACATGTCTAATAATAACTGCTTTTAAAATCTAAAAAAAATAGATAACATAATTGTGTGATTGGACAAATAATTATTTCTCTTTATGTTTGTTATGTTTATGGTGATATTCTTCAGGGTGACTGAATATAATCATTTATGCTGCTCTTTCTAGATTCTATATGGCGAGTTTCCAGCAGGCACAGACTATGGTATATGCCATAAATGAGATCAATAACAATCCTAACCTGTTGCCTAACATCACCCTTGGTTATCATCTGTATGACAACTGTGTAAAGCTTGCAGTATCATTCAGGTCAGCAACAGCACTTCTTAGTGGGACAGAGGAGACCCTTTCTAATTTCAACTGCACTGGCCCACCACCAGTAATTGGGATTGTGGGGGATCCTGGATCTACTCACTGTATAGCAATCTCTAGTGTGCTGGGACTATTTCGAATACCTATGGTAGGATGAGATGAATTTAAACTTCTATAAAATGTTTCAATTTGCTCAATTGTTCAATTGTTTGCTCATGTAAAAGAGTAATTGCTATAACAATGAAAACAATTGTTTTCCTTGTCGCTGTGATCTCTGCTATTAGGTTAGCTACTACGCCACCTGCTCCTGTTTGAGTGACAGGAAAAAGTATCCCTCTTTCTTCAGAACGATCCCCAGTGATGCCTTCCAGGTGCGGGCTATGGTACAGATCTTGAAGCATTTTGGATGGACCTGGGTTGGTCTCGTCTACAGTGATGATGACTATGGCATCAATGCTGCTCAGTCCTTCCAAAAGGAAGTGCAGTTGTTTGGAGGTTGTGTTTCTTTTTCTGAAATCCTGCCTCTGGATAACAACTACATAGACATTCATCGCATTGTACGAGTGATTCAGGCCTCTACAGCTAGAGTGGTGGTGGTGTTCTCCACAGAAGCCTATCTGCTCCCTTTGATGGATGAGGTGGTATTGCAGAATATAACAGGCAGACAGTGGATTGCAAGTGAAGCTTGGGCTACTTCACCAGTTTTTCATACTCAGCGTCTTTTGCCCTTCCTGGGGGGCACTGTGGGGATTGCCATCAGGCGTGGGGAGATCCAGGGACTTCATGACTTTCTGCTTCGCCTCCATCCTGACAGTAATTTGAGAAATAATATGGTGAGAATCTTCTGGGAAAACATGTTCAGGTGCAGTTTTGACACTGGAGGAAGCGAGGGAGAAATAATATGTACTGGACAGGAGGATCTGAGCAGCACAGACACAGCATACACTGATGTATCAGAACTGAGGGCCTCATATAATGTATATAAGGCAGTTTATGCCCTGGCACATGCTCTTCATGACCTGATGCAATGTGAGGAGTGGAGCGGACCATTTAGTGGGAGTAGCTGTGCCAACCTATCCAACTTGAAACCCTGGCAGGTAAGATGACTGCTGTGGACAGAAGCACAGCTTATCAGAATATATATTAAAGGAAAAAACAAAATATTTTCATATAAAACATAAATATATATTTGGTCTGTCTTTAAACTGTACAGGTGGTTCACTACCTACAGAAAGTGAACTTCACCACAGGCTTTGGGGATCATGTGTCATTTGATAAGAATGGAGATGCTTTGGCCATCTATGATGTGATGAACTGGCAGCCGACCTCTGATGGGTCAATAATTGTTCGTACAGTAGGTGTGGTAGATGAAGGGGCAGCAACAGGGAAGGTGCTCACACTGGACGAAAATGAAATATACTGGAACTTGGAGACAAATAAAGTAATTAATATTGTTTTTTTAAAAAGTCTCTTAAACTATGGAAACATAACTAGCATATGCATGTCATGTTACGTGAGTAATGGTCACTGAAAGAGTACACTGTTCATAATATAGTACAAACATATACTATTTTTATGTGTGTTTTAAAAAAAAAATTGTATCCGCCAGCCCCCACAGTCTGTGTGCAGTGAGAGTTGCCCCCCGGGCACCAGGCGAGCCAGAAAGAAGGGTCTTCCTGTCTGCTGTTTTGACTGCCTGCCATGTGCAGATGGAGAGATTTCTAATATATCAGGTTCGAGAGAGTCATGTAATCATAAGAACGGAAATCAACGGAAATGATTATTATTCAATCATAGCTTTTACCAACATTATACAACTATTTTTATCTTTATCTTGCTCTCTCTCTCTCTCTCTCTCTCTCTCTCTACACATAGATTCCATTGAGTGCATAGTGTGTTCCGATGAGTTCTGGTCAAATACAGATAAAAATAAGTGTGTTCCCAAAGAAATGGAGTTTCTGTCTTACGAGGAACCTCTTGGCATTTCCCTGAGCACTGCTTCCTTGCTTGGCACCTTCATCTGTTCTGCAGTGTTTGTAATTTTTGCACATTACCGCCACACTCCAGTTGTGCGAGCTAACAATTCAGAACTCAGTTTCCTGCTGCTATTGTCACTCAAACTGTGTTTTTTGTGTGTGTTTCTGTTCATTGGCCGGCCGCAGCTGTGGACATGTCAGTTAAGACATGCTGTGTTTGGTATTAGCTTTGTCCTGTGTGTCTCCAGCATCCTGGTTAAGACTATGGTGGTAATAGCTGTGTTCAAGTCATCTCGACCAGAAGGTAAAAGTGTGATGAAATGGTTTGGAGCAGCTCAACAAAGAGGCACAGTTCTGGTCCTGACAGCCCTCCAGGTTGTGATATGTGCAGTCTGGCTATCAACTGCCTCTCCAACACCCAATAAAAACAGTTATTATATCCACTCTAAAATAGTATATGAATGTGCTATTGGCTCAGTGGCTGGTTTTTCTCTTCTGCTGGGATACATTGGCCTCCTTGCAGCAATAAGTTTCCTGTTAGCTTTCCTGGCGAGAAACCTTCCAGACAATTTTAATGAAGCAAAGTTCATCACTTTTAGTATGTTAATCTTCTGTGCTGTGTGGATTGCATTTATCCCAGCATATGTGAGCTCTCCAGGGAAATATGCAGTGGCTGTGGAGATATTTGCCATCCTGGCTTCCAGTTTTGGATTACTGGTCTTCATATTTGCCCCGAAGTGTTACATCATTATATTACACCCAGAAAGAAACACTAAAAAAGCCATCATGGGAAAAGCAACCTGAAATAACTAATTTTAAACAGTCTTAAATGTCTCCAGTCTGACACTATATTTCTTGTTAAAACTTGAATAAACAGCTTTGATGCGATATGAGAACAATTAGTAACTGTTTGGAATCAAATAATCTCAGTTGGTTTTCAGATAAATGTCTAGAAATGTATCATTCCATCTGATCCATACTCAAATTGATTATTAAGTGCTAATTATGTTTGGTATCACTTCACGTGTTTTTATGTATAATGCATTATATGTCTTCATAAATAACTGTAACCAAAGATAAAATGCATTATAATTTGCAGATTCCTTGTTACATCTGAAGTTGGTTGTTAATGCACTGTGAGTGTGAACTAATATGAACAAACAATGAACTTAACAAATATGAACATACACAGAAGCAAATGGTTAGTTCATGTTAGTTAATACATTAACTTAACAAATGAGACCTTGTTGTAAAGTTTTGCCATTATAATGTATTATAACTGTGGTTACATATATTCATAAGACCATTCATTGCATTAATAAGTGCGGCAAAATGGACTTTCTTTCAAAAATACAATAACAAGGCATTACAAGGCATGATTAATGCATTATTAAATACTTTCATAATTCATTATATATAATGGTGTTACAGGTTTTTCTTCTATTGAAGAAATTCCATCTTTGAGTACCACCAACTCCTCCTACAGTCAATGTGAGAATAGGCATCACACAACACAATAGTATCGTTAGATATGATATGGTCTTGTATTGAAATACAGCAGAAATCAGGATGGAGCTCAATGGAATGGAACAAGACTCTGCGGGCTTGAGAGTGGTTTCTAACAGTTTATATTAGATGAATATAAACTGTTTCTTCTAAATTCAACACAGTGTAAGATACACGTCCTGTATGAACAGCCCATGAATCTAACTTTGGTAGATTTAAAATCTTGATTGCAAAATGACTTGCTGCTCGGGAATGTAGCTAATTTTTAAATTGTTTAACCATTTGATGCACAACATGGGTTTTTAAATTTTTCCTTAAATTTTTCCTTTCTTACTTTTCGAAAAAAAATCTTCTGAAGAATTCTAAAGAATTCTTACACATGGCACCTTTAAGTTTTGTTTTGTAGAAAGCCTTTCTAAAAATTTAATTTCATTTTGTATAATTTGTATCTTATTGTTATTCAATGTTTTATCAACCAATTGCCTCGATTTAATAAATAAGAAGAACATATAGCAGACAATATAATCAGGACATGGAGGCGCCGGCGAGATTGCATGGCTCAATTGTTGTGTCACAGCCCTTCTAATGTGCAACATGGGTCTAAAATGACCCATATTCATGTTTCTTTGCTGAATATTTGAAAGAAATGTATTTTATCATCTCTAAGGGATCGCCCAGCCACTCTGCGGAGAAAGCTCATTTCGGCCGCCTGTATCCGTGATCTTGTCCTTTCGGTCATGACCCAAAGCTCATGACCATAGGTGAGAGTAGGAACGTAGATTGACCGGTAAATCGAGAGCTTTGCCTTACGGCTCAGCTCCTTCTTCATCACAACAGACCGGTACATCGACCGCATTACTGCTGAAGCTGCACCGATCCGTCTGTCAATCTCCCGTTCCATCCTTCCCTCACTCATGAACAAAACCCCAAGATACTTAGGGTGTATTCACACCTGCCTTGTTTGGTTCGATTGAATCGAACTCTAGTTCGTTTGCCCCCTTGGTGCGGACCTTTTGGGCAGGTGTGAATACAGCAATCGAACTCGGGTGCGGACCAAACAACCGAACCGAGACCCCGCTGAAGAGGTGGTCTCGGTACAGTTCCAAACGAACTCTGGTACGGTTCGTTTACGGTGTGAACATGAACCGACCCAATTGCAAGAAAGCACTGCGTCGAAAGAGAATATTGCGCGTCTTTCTGCGCGTCTTTCTGCGCGTCGTGTGTGAATGTCTAATCGCGCAAAGATGCAAAAAATAAATAATTTGCAGTTCATAAAGCATTTGCAGTTCACCACCTTTTGGTGGTGGTTGACGAGTTTCCCCCTTAAAGCGAGTGCCGAGAAAAATTCTATATATAAATGTAATGAATTATTATTATTATTAATGTAAGGATAGTTACAATACAAGGATGACGATGCGTTAATTTACGTTAAACTGGACAAACTTAATCGCAAGCATTAACATTGACAGCACTTGTTAGTACACAATAAGAATCTCATTATTTGAATGAGTGGACATAGCCCTTCTCTATGAATGAAAACTTTATACCTTCTCCGTCTTCTGTGCAGTGCCACTTGTAACGCAAAGTTGAGATGTTGCCCAGAGATAAAAAAAAAACAGTAGATGGTCGAATGAAAAGATGCACGAGAGACGAGAGTTGTCGTATTTCCCGGCGTTTATAGAGCCACTCAAACGTTACACTCGTCGTCTTCTCAAAATCCGAATTACAACTTCGTATAGATGACATTGTATCATATGATACTCATTAGTTTCTTCATATTGCGTTTGTACAGAATTAACACAAAATTAGTAAAAGAACAAATATTGCAGTATGAAATATATGGAAATATCTCCATGCTGAGCCTTTTTTGCACTTCCTGATTTCCCTTGAGAATCCTTGTCCAATGAATGGACGACCTTAGCACACGTGTGGTTTGGTTTACAAATTTTGGTTCACTTGCAAAAAGAGCAGTGTGAAAGCGAACCGTACCAAAAAAAAATAAAAAAAATTTTTATTTGGTCCGGACCAAAGCAAGTGAACTATCGGACTTTCCTGGTGTGAATACACCCTTAAACTCCTCCACTTGAGGAAGGATCTCTCCACCAACCTGAAGTGGGCAAGCCACCCTTTTCCGGCTGAGGACCATGGCCTCGGATTTGGAGGTGCTGATTTTCATCCCAGCCGCTTCACACTCGGCTGCAAACCGTCCCAGTGCATGCTGAAGGTCCTGGTATGAAGGGGCCAACACGACAACATCATCCGCAAAGAGCAGAGACGAAATTGTGTAGTCCTTAAACCTGACACCCTCCGGCCCCTGGCTGCGCCTAGAAATTCTGTCCATAAAAATTATGAACAGAACCGGCGACAAAGGGCAGCCCTGCCGGAGTCCAACATGAACCGGGAAGAAGTCTGACATACTACCGGCAATGCGAACCAAGCTCCTGCTTTGGTCATACAGGGACCGGACAGCCCTTAGCAAAGGACCCCGGACCCCATATTCCCGGAGCACCCTCCACAGGCTGCCTCGGAGGACACAGTCGAATGCCTTCTCCAAATCCACAAAACACAAGTGGACTGGTTGGGCAAACTCCCATGAACCTTCCGTGTTCCACGGCCCGGACGAAAACCACACTGTTCCTCCTGAATCCGAGGTTCCACTATCGGCCGTATTCTCCTCTCCAGTACCCTGGCATAGACTTTCCCAGGGAGGCTGAGAAGTGTGATCCCCCTATAGTTGGAACACACCCTCCGGTCCCCCTTCTTAAAAAGAGGAACCACCACCCCGGTTTGCCATCCCAGAGGCACTGTCCCCGGCCGCCACGCAATGTTGTAGAGGCGTGTCAACCAAGACAGCCCCAGAACATCCAGAGACTTGTGCCTTGCTACCGAGGAGTTTCTTAAATACCTCGGTGACCTCAGCTAGGGTGATACCATACCATACCATACCAACTTTATTTATAAAGCACATTTAAAAACAACCAAGGTTGACCAAAGTGCTGTACATTAACAGATAAACAACAACAACAAGCAAGCAATTAAAACAATCAATAAACTATAAAACTATACAAGGTACAACTCTCACGCAGAAGTAAATGCCAATGAATAAAAGTGTGTCTTAAGTCGTGATTTAAAAGTGTGTAGGCTAGGGGCTAATCTGACGTGCAGAGGCAGATCATTCCACAACCTTGGGGCCACAACTGAAAAAGCTCGATCACCCCTATTTTTGAGGCGGGTTCTAGGGACCGATAAGATTAGCTGGTCAGCAGACCTTAAAGGGTTAGTTCACCCAAAAATGAAAATTAAGTCATTAATTACTCACCCCCATGCTGTACCAACCCCGTAAGACCTTCGTTCGTCTTCGGAACACAAATGAAGATATTTTTTATTAAATTTGAGAGCTGTATAACTACCACATTGGCTCCTAAAGGACTGCCTCTTGACGGCCCAGAAAGTCAATGAAGAAAATGTTTAAATATCCCAAGTGACTACCGTGGCTCAACTATATGTTTATCAAGCGACGCGAATACTTTTTGTGCGAAAAAACAAACAAAAATAACGAGTTTATTCGACTATTTCTTTTCTTGCTTGTAGGCCAGAACGAGACTTCCTTAGATTTCCACGACGCATGCGCGAGAATTGCGATCTGAAGTGGTGTAAACTGGTGTGAGCAGATCGCAAATCTCGCGCATGCGTCGTGGAAATCTAAGGAAGTCTCGTTCTGGCCTACAAGCAAGAAAAGAAATAGTCGAATAAACTCGTTATTTTTGTTTGTTTTTTCGCACAAAAAGTATTCGCGTCGCTTGATAAACATATAGTTGAGCCACGGTAGTCACTTGGGATATTTAAACATTTTCTTCATTGACTTTCTGGGCCGTCAAGAGGCAGTCCTTTAGGAGCCAATGTGGTAGTTATACAGCTCTCAAATTTAATCAAAAATATCTTCATTTGTGTTCCGAAGACGAACGAAGGTCTTACGGGGTTGGTACAGCATGGGGGTGAGTAATTAATGACTTAATTTTCATTTTTGGGTGAACTAACCCTTTAATGACCTCGAAGGAGCGTGAATCTTCAGTAGTTCAGAGATATAAACTGGGGCTTGACCATTAAGAGATTTAAAAACAAACAACAAAATCTTAAATTGTATTCTAAAACAAACTGGTAGCCAATGAAGGGAGGCAAGGACAGGCGTAATATGATCTCTTTTCCGTGTTCCGGTTAGGACTCGAGCAGCAGCGTTTTGAACCATTTGTAATCTAGAGAGGGAGGTCTGGTTAATGCCCACATATAAGGCATTACAG